AGAAAGTACGGAGAAAACACATACATGACAAATTGGACAATGTAATAACCCCATAGCCAGAAAACTTTGTCAGTTCTCAGAAATAATAATAATAACGACCTTAGACCCCATTCCCAGGGATTAGATCGATCTACTTTAGATCGACCTAACTCCCTGGGGGTTCACGCTAGATAGCTGTCAGCCAAGCGGGCATGAAAGTTAATTACCCCCTTACAGATTGTAGTAGGGGGATGGACATTTAAGCTGGATTATCTGACAGTAATCTAGTGAGACTCCCCGCGGGGATAGATCGATCTAAAAGCTCTGGGGATACACCCTTAGATAACATTTTGTTGAAACCATGTTATGCACGCGACTACAGAATATTACTGGCATTCTGCCGATGCCTTTTTTTAAAACCACTCTTGCCAACATCTGCTGCATGTATCTCTTCTAAGTGGCACCAGCAAAATGAATTTGAATGCCACAAGATATGCCACAGAATTAATCCACTGCCCCATATGCCATCACAGCTATGTGCCTTTCTTTTTTTTTTTAATCTGTATAAGTCTTATGCTAATATCCATATAAAATGCAGCATACTGTTACCACAAACAAAATATGTAACACTTTTTGCTATCAAATAATTTGTATATTTATTGTGATATTTCATATTTACTAAAAAGTAGAGAATATGACATGTAAAAGGGATTATAACAAATAAAATAACTAAAAAGAGCTATAGTTTTCAATTTTGGTAAGTGATGGTTTATATGTGACAATGTCTATATAGGAAATACCAAGGTATCGACTAATGACATTTTTCAAATAAAATCCGTTAACTTTCAATTGGAAAAAACAAGGGTAGAGCAGAGAGCAGAGAATATATTCTCCCCAGTGGTATCAGATATAGGAACTCCCCTTGTGCGAGATACAATTTTGTTGTTGATCACCAATCAGGAAGTATGACCATCATGAATATTGATTAGATAAAAACCCCAGCATACTAAACACAAATTTGTTTTGAAAATAAAAGTGAAATGATAGGTATTTTAGATCAATTTTTGAAAAAAGCTGCCTTCTTTTTAAGTCCTGATTCAATGATTTCTTAATCAAGTTCTGTGGTATCCATTGTACATAAGGTAGTTGTTTTTACATGCTGCCAATTGAAAATATATACTTACTCTTGCTCTAAAACTTTTCATGGATATCTGCAAGTTTTTTTTATCAAAAAGTAGTTTGATCAACTTGAAAATTCCAGTAAACAAAAATTCTAGAAACAAACTACAATATCTAAATTAAATAACATTGCATGCATTAAGTATTGTATGTGTTTAATACTAGTAATTTGATATGATAAGACAAACAGACTTTGCCAGTGAGCTGGACACCAGAATATCAAATAGCAGCACTGACATCAAATTGTAAATTCATCAACTCATTATTTTATCCAGCATTTTGTACTTCCAATTTTCAAAGTCCTCCTTCTTTTTCATGGCCTGATATTCACTTTTTAGGTTCTTAACTTTAGTTTTAATTGACTGCCAATGCCTCTCATAGCCTCCTTCTCCAAGTTTCTCTGACAACCTTGAATAGGCTTGGGTTTTATAGTGATTGTTGCGGTATAAACACTGTATGTCTTCCTCTCCCCATAGTTCAAGAAGCAACCTTGTTTCTGCTTCTGTCCAATTGTATCCACGTGGTGGTGCCTTTGTATCATCCATTATCTGATTTTTTTTAAAAAAGAGAAATGGACTCGGTAAGATAATCACTGTAGAATACCTTCAGCATATTACAAAGACATTTTAAATTTTGCATATATTGTAAAAGCTGTTGTACTGTCTTATCTTACACCATCACACCTGCAACACTGTCATACCTTCAACATTAATTTGCCCTTCTTCTTAAGTGTTGCTTCAGTTTTTGTCAAACACAAAATGAAGGGGGGAAAAATAAAAATCGACTACACTTCTATTCTTCTTCAAAGAAAGAAAAAGAGTAAATGTGGTACTGCTCAACTTATACAGCTATAACAAAATATATTCAAGTTGAAGTATATATATGTAGTTGGTCAGATATGGTTCCAGTCTGTTTGGCAGTCTTATCCACTTCAGGTGTATGAGTTAGACCAGTTAATTGTTTCTCATGCAGGATATATCTGTGTCATACAATTTTCTTCACCATTTCACTCAGATCCCAGCTCTCCAAATTCCCTGCCCTCCTTCTGCTCTTGTATTCCATTTTGAGATTCTTAATTTTAAATCGGCACTGGTCAGGAGTTTTGTCAAACTGTTTCAGCTTCAACATCTGCGAAAGTTGAAGGTAAACCTTCAAGTTGTGGTAATTATCCTGAAGTTGTTTCTGTATTCTTTCTTCTGCACACATGTTGATCAGCAACAGCACCTCCTGCCTTGTCCACAATATGCGGGGCCGTGGCAAGTAAGATAAGCTCTGAGTTGAAGGAAAAGGGACAAAGTAAGATGACAGTTACCCCTAACAAGTTGCAATGTCCCTTACATTGCCATACCTAAAAACTCTGTCACATGTAACATACTGTGTACTGCAATGTTACTCAGATATTTCATCAAAAAATACTATACCAACCATATATATATATAGAGAGAGAGAGAGAGAGAGAATCTGACAATCTGTCTCACCTAGCACACTGTTAACATGTAACAAGGCTTTCCTGAAACACTGCAATAACCAACACCCTGCCTCTCTAAACATTGTCACCTAGATTGATTTTAGTACTCACTGTTACATTTCAATTGTCACACATACCTCACTGATAAATCTTGTTTTTAACAATTATAAGATACAATACCATGTTTAACCGTTATAAGATACAATGCTTTGCTCTGTCATGATAAATAAACAAAGCAGTTTGCACTTGACATTGTCATATATCGTGTCTTCTTAATTTATTGCCTGACAAAGACCTTTAATTTACATAACCGTAATGTTAATTTTAATTATCTTAAAAGGCCTCAACATAATAATTATAAAGATTTTACAAAAACCTGTCTAGTGTCATTTCACATATTACACCCAATCCACTGAAAGCCAAAGATAACAAATCAGAGAGTGCAAGACATGATGTCATGTAGTATATCAAGGCAAGTTCTGCCATCCCAAAATAATGTATTCTGTTGAATGAATGAAAAAAACCTGGTTTTCACAACCTGGGGAATATTCAGGATGTAGAAATATATTTTTTTACCAATAATCAAATCAAGTAAATGAGTATAATGCTGAGATAAAAGAGTAAGACTAGGGATGTTGGTTCTGTATGGCACATTTGGATCTGCACCTGGCCCTCATACCAGTCCTTTACTAAGGTTGCATTCGGAACAGGTGATTCTTGGATCTACTGATCCCCAGATCAAATATGGCAGACTCTACATGAAAGCAAGACCACCTAATCCTTAAGTAGTCTCCTCGCCTCCACACAAATTAAATTTCGGCTTTGAGGTTAAATTGCAAGGCCCCTGCATGGAAGGTGCGTGTGGAGGCAGGAAGACCATTAAGGGATTATTTGGTATTGCTTTTTAGTAGAATGGGCTATATTTAGTTCGCGGATCAGAAAGTCTCCAGATCATCTGTTGTGAATACGACCCAACTATTAACCAGGTAAGACAACGTCCCTGGTGGCTTATGTGACCAATAACGTCATATTAGTTGTGACCATGGGCGAATGTGTTAGGTGTGGCATTGGATTTCATGATATTGAAAAAAAAAAAAATGACAACAGTAATGTTGGAGGTATGACAGTGTGACAGATATGACAATATGTAAGGTGTGCCACTTAAATCAAGCAAAATTTACATGAAAATGTGTGTGAGAATTCTTTGAACCAGATTAGACCCAGTGAGACTGTGACTCCTCTAAATATATAACTCTTATGATACATGTAACACCCATGTAAAAAAATTGAAAGCAGAACTCAATACAGACATCCCACATTTACCAATACATGCAAATTATGAACTTCAACATTCTTAAGGCTCACTCACAAATATTCTATTGCCAAATCACTACTGTTCATTTTTAGATCAAATTCAATATTCTTTTAAAATTACTTCCAGTCCAGGTCCGTGCACTTTATTTAATAAATAAACTGTTTCAGTTATGATATTAGAGAGTTTCCGGTGCCATTGGGATACGATGGCTGGATTGATATGTATTTGTATACGTAACCACTAACCTGCTATTGTTTATGAAGTTCCAGTAATACTGGCTTTTCCCGTCAAAGGTGGTGCTCCTTCCAACACATGGAATTCATAATATGAATTCATGAGATGCTTTGTATGCTTTTAAACATCCAAGGAAGCACGGGATATGTAACCCATGTTCCTTTAAAGCCAAGGTATGTTTTTTTGTGACAGTAATTTTTAGTAATTTCTGGTTTTAGTTCATGTTTCACAAGGGCCTACAATCAAGTCTTTTGCACTTTTAAGTTAAAACAGAACATCTGAACTAAAGTAAAACATTTGTTGTCAATATGTAATAACTTAAACTGGCAGTTAATATACAATATACAACATGCATGCACTAATGCTGTGATTATTTACTACATAATTTTGGATCTGTTGGGGCAATTGCTTACGATATGAGTGCATATAAATCCAGTTCCCAATTCAGTTTTAATTCCTGCAAACCTGGTAATTTACTCTGATCTTATTTTGTTTTTATTCCAGGTTTAATTTGGATACTCTTACAGATGAACAGTGTACAGAATATTTTAGATTCTACAAGAGATTAGTCAGGGTTCTTCACATTCCCAATAAAATCAATAAGGCACATATAGTGTTTACAGGACAGTATAATATGAGCCAAGAAATGATGAAGGGCAAACAGTATAACAAGACTGTGAACTTACTAGTAAAGAAAATGACTAGTATATAGTGGATTGCTTATTAGTAAATGTATATGTGATATTTTTCTTTGCTGGGAGCAAATTATTTATGCAACTTTCCAAATGTGATCTTAATTTGAATGGAATTGACTGTTATACCTGTTTATGCACTCATTTCTACGAAAGCCGTTTTCCCATCTCTTTATGTAATCTGAGAAAAATGTAAAACAGAACAACGTCATTATTCACTATATCATTATTGCATAATGAGTTTGTCATTTACAAATATAAAGGCTTCCGAACAGTACATAAGCCTTAAAAAGTATTGACCCTACTTAGTTTTGGCACGAAATGAAATATATAACACTTAAATGTCTTTAAAAAACTGTACAAAGAGCTTCATGTCTCAAATTGAGTAAATTCACTGTCAACTTCACAAACAGTGATTCAGCTGAAGGCAGAACTAGTTTTGGCACTTGGAATGTCAGACTTATCATCTTAAAATCCTGTACAATTGGATTCATTATAGCTACATTATTACTTGGGTTCACTAGAAAAGATGTTAATTCTTTGATATAAACCAGGATAATTCCTTTATTTAATATGATGAAATACACCCCAGTAAAAAAAACCCACAAAATATACAACTTAATTTGAAATTCAATTGAATACAAATTCATTTATGACACAAATTTAGCAAGTTTACTGCTGAATTCACAAACAGGAGTTTCAGCTGATAGAAAATGACTTTTTGCACCTGTACTAATGGAAATATTACATTTATCGTCATAAAATGAATTAAAATAATACAAATTATTTCCCATAAATTAAGCTAGTTCCCTGATGAATTCACAAAACAAAGTACTCTGAGTTTCAGCAAAAGGCAAGGGATAATAAAATGTTTGCCATGCCTAATTTTTATTTTTTTCAATAAGCTTCGCAAGCATGGCAAACATTTTCTCATCCCTTGCCCTTTCTTGTTCAAGGCGTTGGGTCTCGTGTTGAAAGCGCTGAGTCTCCAGCTCCTGCTGTCTCCTCCTTAATTCAAAATACTCTTCAAAACTGGGGCTTGAGTGTCTCCTCTTGCTCGTGGATGGCTGTGTGCTTGTGGAGGGCTGCTGAGTTTCTTCCACATCTGCTGGCTCTGCTGAAATTGTCACATAACCCTACTGTGAATAAACACATATCTATGGATTGAGCAACACAATTTCCTAAATTATATATCCAGTGATACAGCGAGTCGGACTCAAAAATGGTTCACACATCTCAGTTGTCTGCCCAATAAACAGCCATGTAGCCAATGTTTTGATTTCATTCTAATTAGTTCCCACCATTTTTCAATTTTGATAGCCTGATCTTTCTACCCGAATTTAGCCTTTAGGTAATGACAATCTGCAGACTTACGTTTTCTCCTCTGAGACAGCATGGCTGCCTCCCGGACTTTGAGGCCCTTATCCACATTTTCCTTCTCCTCTCTTTTTTTCTTCTCTTTTTCGCTGTTCTCAGTAGCTGCATTTTCTTCCAAGAGATAAAGAAGTTCTTGGAGAAGGCTTTCCCTCTCAGTCAATTCCTCATCTGTTCCTGATCTATACAAAACAAGGTGAAATAAATGTACTCCTAACCTCCCATTCTCTACAACTGATAGTGGAAAAGACATTTTACTGACAAATGAAGTAAATTTTATAACTTCAACACTAAAACTGTCTTTGATACAAGAATCTATTCATTAAATTTTGCTGACATATACTCACGCCTTCAAAGACTGCATGGTCTTTTCTTGGAATGCCAGTTTGAGGGTTCTGACCCTCGCCTGGCAGCTTTTGATGTTAAAGCTGCTATGGGAGCAAACATTGAGGTTGGTGACCACCTCCTCCCATTTGGCTCTCCCTCCTGCAAATGGATTGAGGGTGATCACCTCCCTCAATAGCATCAAATCATCTTTTGGGGTGAACCTCTTTTGTTGACTCGCGTAGGTTGACTGAAATGAAGGAAACATTGTGATATTATTTCATTACCTGCACATTACTAAAATTATTGCAAATTTATATAATCTAAATAAAAAAAGAAGCAAGCAGAAGCATGTTTGGTTATAGCCCCCCCTCCCCTCCCAACACATTACAAATTAATATTAAAAAACAGGCCTTTAACCAGCAATTTCAAATGGGGGGGGGGGGGGGGGGCTTTTTCTGAAAAAAGTGGACCTTTCACCATTGAACCCTCGTGTTTAAACCAAACCTTCCAGACAATTTTTACCCAGAAGTCACCTTTCCCCAGCAAAAATGGTGGTTCTTTAGAACCCCCCAAACACCCTCTGCTACAGGCCTGATAAACCAAAACTAACGACTGGTTTCCATTACACATGTGCCATGATAACATGGACATACACTTGAACTATTGTAATGAAGTATAAAGGGCATATAAATCAGCAAACATTACCTTTAATAACTATTTCTGATATCCTACTGCACTGACTGGATACGAGCACTTGTATTCGGCCGACTGCATGTGAAAGCATTCAACGTCAAAGGTGCACACAAAACGATGACGTATCAATCAAGCCATTGTATCCCTCCGGCAACGGAAACTCTCTATTATTGTTGCTTGAATCATATTTTGTTTTAAAATGATCTTTGTTGTAGTAAGTAATGAGCCCTGCAATCAATGCCTCCCCTCGTGTCCATACATCATGTTCACTCTGTGCAATTTGTTTGAGTGCACTTTTTAAAATATTTGCCATTAATTTGGATATCAAATTTAGGAAAATAGCAGATAAAACTCAAAGTAGAACAATCATTAAAACACTGTCTCTTCTTATGCACTACTTCCACAGTGCATCGTTTTTACCAACAGAGCTCGTATCCAATTAATGATGCACTATGAAAGCACACAGGTTACATGATGAAAGACACTGCTACAACAATAACAATAAAAATGTGTGACTTACATTTTTACCCCTAGCAGCAGGTTGCACAGATGTTGAAGGCATATCTTGACTATGACTGCCATCTAGTGAGTGTTGCCAGGTAGGTATCATTGGTGGGAGATTGCTGTGTTCACGCGGCTGCATTGACCACATTGGCTGATTACTAGACACACTACTTTCAAATCCTGCTGGTACATCTACATGTTGCATCACTGAACCAATGTCAATATCTACTAACTCTTGTTTGACTTCCACTGTATCCTGTATACTGCAAATGAGCTTTGTGTTCAGAGCTATGTCTTTATTATCATTGGATTGTGAGTCTTCCCCGTGTGATTCCGGGGTCTCATGAATGTCCACCTCTGTGATTGTATCACTTGCCTGTGGCAAAGTGCATGGACGTTTTAGTGGCATCGTCTCTTGTCCTTTTATAGAACTTGAAGCTGGTCTCTTAGAACACAGGTTTTTGTAAAGATGCACTGGGGAGACTGTTGAAGAGGCCTCCCCTTCACTGGTCCTGGAATTATTGCCTACTTCATTGAATCTATTCTCCAACTTTGCATTGTCTTGAATGGTAATAGGTGTAGGTATAGTCTGAATAGACCTGTGACTGTTTGTATCTTTATCACTAACAATCCTTTTCTCACTGGACTCTGTTAAGTCTACAAAAGAACTGGATGTTGGGTGGCCTGCTTTGACCCCTGCCCATCCTGTTTGCACTGCGCCATCTGCTGGTGGCTTCAAAGCTGAGTCTTGGGAAAGGTCATGTTGGGATGTGTAATTCTGTGGAGCACCAATGGTTCCTTGGAATACCTGAAACACTTTCATGATCTGGGCAACAAATCGCCCACTTTCGTATCCTATCTCAAGGTTTGAGAGCTCCAAAGATATGACACCATCTTCTTTATTTTTTACCTCAATGCTGTGTTGAAACTCTCCTGAAATGAATAAACAACAAATGTGATAAAATAATAAATACTCATCTTCAAATAGCACTTAACTGTTTCAAATAAAAGTTTCATGGCAAAATAGTTTTGAGGAATTCCTTTCCCACCCAGTCACTGGAGAAAATTGCCCTTGCTTTCCTTGCTTATATCTAGGTCATGCTGTAAATGAAGTCGTATTATATTCTAAATTAAAAATTATATTTACAAAAAATGCACATAAGATCTGAAAAAACAGGTGATGGGAATATGAACTTTCATTCTATTGTTCTTTGTTGCGAAGTGACAAATCAGATACAGTATTTGCAAATGGTCTTTTAAAATGAGGTTTCTGTTCCAGAAGCGCTGTATTGCAAACTCTGGTTAAAGAGCTCAGTTTTCTGTCTCCACACAACCTGTGCCTCAAATCATTCTCTTACCTTCTTCGTTTGTGGCCACAAACTTGCACAGCTGGCTGTCTGCCAGTGCTGCACATGTCTTTACCAGCTCCAGTGGCAAATTAATGTCAAGTTTAGAAATCTTCAACATGGTGCTGTCTAAAATAATAAAAATCAACACTTCAATTTTTGTGAGTTCTTACGTTAGATATAGTTTTACTTCCTAATATGTTGGGCTGTTTAATCAATGCTCCCATTTCAAACAGTTCTATATCAGGCACTTTTCACATCATGCAGTGCACAAAGAACTAAGGAACTGCTCTGCGCTGTTCTGACAATTTCGATGCCTGGCCATTACATAAGGTCAGCGGTATAAGGTAATTACCTAAACCAGCCCCATGCTTGACAATGTCAGTAAAACAGATGAATTTTGATTGGTTTTTGATAAGTACATTGGAGTTTGTGAAACGAGGGGCCTTATACCCCCCACCCAACTGCATGAACTCCCTTGGATATTGATATTGTGTAATCATCTAACTTTGTACATTTGTACTCCCTCTCTCCTAAACAATCAATCCTGCAGAAATTCCTGAAAATTGCACATATGCAACATGCATGTAAGTATTTATACCTCCATACCAGAGGTGAATTTGCAGGGTCCATTGCTCAAGTGCCAATTTTTCTACCTCGGTGGTTGGAGGGTCTGTTACTATTTAGGTAAACAAATCTTATTTGTTGGTTTGCGGTAGATTTTACAGCAGTAGATCTAAGAACATACATACAAAGATATATTCCCGAGGACAAAGAACAACCTGAGCGGCAATGAATGAATGATGCACATCATCGACATCGGGGCTTCACTTAAATCTTCAAAGATATGACCTATGGCCTATCTTCTGCATCGATTTCCCTTGTAATAATATTTGAACATACGATAAACAGCTTTAGACCTACCTTTACTCTGCCTGAGAGCTGATTATCGCATTTAATAGTCGCAGAATTTCAACTCACTCACGCTGCTAAATAAACCTTCTTGTAATGTATTGCGGTTTACCCGCCACCTATCGTCGGAGGAGTTAACCATTGGCATGTACTACTGGTATATGAATGTACTAGCTATAACAACAATAATAAAACAAGCAAATGGATAAGACCCTTTTTAATATTTGACACTAATGAAAATAATCATGCACACTTTACTACTGCGGTCACACCCTGAATGAATTATCTTTAGTTTAAAAGAAAATAAACTTTCCTTCTATGTTGGAGAGTGGTATATTGCATTAGTAAGACAGAAAAAAAATTGCTACAAAGTTTTTTAAATGTCCAAGGTTCAGCTTTTATATGCTTCTAGTTGAGCATAACACATTTTGTACAAGTCTTACAATAGGATATAAAAATATTTACAAGGTAACTTGGTATGTTTTTGAGAATGTCATAAACATAGATCTACCAAGTTACCCAATTGTAATATTTTAAAGTTTTAAATCTTTTTTAATGTTAATTTAACAAAATCTCAGAGATTTTATTTAATTATTACTTTTAAGATGTAATAAAAAAACAATGAAAGGTTTTATTCAAATAAATAAAATTACATACATTCAATTTACATATTTACATACAATGTTGTTTTATACATACTTTTTTTTTTTTTTTGGGGGGGGGGGGGGGGGGTGTTCTAGTAAGCCTCCAAAAGGGTAATAGTACCAGATATGCTCACTGAAACAAATAAATCTCAATGCACAGCTTTTAATTTATCAACCACTGCCAACTGAGCATTCAGTTATTTCCCAATAAATATCTTGTGATGTCAATTAACTGAGTATAACCCCTCTTTAAACAGTTGAAAATAAGTTAACAGTTGTAGCTGCATGCATGATACATCTTTTAAAATGCAAATTGTTTCTCTCCCTCTTTTACACGAGGTGGAGGTGAGATCATAACTACATTCTGGCTATGTTAGAAATCCCCACAAGGATTCCCACATTTTAAATATCTGTAAAAACAATATAACAATACTGAAACTTGATGCTACACGTATTTTTCATTTAGAAACTGTGGGAAATTTGTCCTCTTATCAAATCTATTTTCATCTTTTTCTGCATTTTATTTTTTTTTATTTATTTTATTTTATTTTTTTGTAACCGTCTTCTAGCACTTTGAGTCTTCAAAGGTTTTTCATCAGTCTGCAGGCCCAAGATATACAGTCTTGATGGAAGCTACGTTCACTGGTACAATATGCTGGGCTTGACAGTGTTGAGTCTTTCGACATGTTGTGGTAGATATTACAGAGAATATTTTTGGATGGGACAATCGTTAGTTAGGTGTTCTAATCAATATGCTGATGCTCTGCTCCTATATGCTGTAAAAATGTCCAAATTTTACGTCCTGTTCGAGATCTTGCAAAGAGAATTCCACAAAAGGTAATCACAAACACCCATGATACACAGAGCACAAGGTCTGTGTCTTGTGTAGGCACACTGGGCAGAGGACCCAAATAATCTTCCTCTAATACTATAATATTATCTAAAGGATGAAGTCCTGAAACAAAGATACAGATCATTTTCTAAGCACTGTAACAGTTGTCTATTTTTGTACACTTTTAATGTTACTTTCTTTATTTCATACTTTATCTGTTAATAGATTTTTTTAAATTGGCATGTTTTATACAAAAACTTCATTTGAAATTTTCTAACTGAATGATTTCTTGTAAATTTAACACCAAATATTATAGTTTGAGCTGTGAGCCAACATTTTGTGGTCTGTGCTCTAATATGCCTTACCTGTGATGTTAGTGACAAAATTAACAAAATTTGTAAAGTTCCTCTCTTGAAGTGGAAACTTTGCCACAGCCTTTGAATTGTGGAAAATCACTACATTTGGCACTGCCACTGTTCCAAACCTAGCATTTAAACTGAAAACAAAACCACAAAATTCTGTAAAAATGATAAACAGTCTTTTTACATCAATATTTCAAAGCAAAGATAATATCAAAATAGTGTAGGAAAGGGATTCAGAAATAATGGTGTTTGTTTCAGAGATAAGAGAAAACAATATGTAGACACCGATTGTTTCTATTACATCAAATTTTGCCTTCAAATAACATGACATAGTGAGGGAAGTTACAGAGCATTATGTGTACAGATTAAAAATTTTGCCATATGTTAATAAAATTGCAAGAAATCAAACTTCATGTGTCAGGTGTTCCAGTTTGCTGGGCGTAATAATAAGACCATCTGAATTTACCTATTTAATTGCACTGCATCTACAGCCACCACTTCCAACTGAGGAAAAGCCCGAGCCACTGCATTATAATGAGGAGCTGTCCTTGCACAAAACATGCACCAAGGTGCATAAAACATCACTAGAACACAGTTCCCTTCGCTTTCATTTTTAAACGTTAATCTGTGCAACAAGGTGGTGCTATTCACCAGCCGAACTGTAGCAACAGTTTCATTTGTCAAATTACGGCCTATGCATGAGAATTTTTTCACTTTTGCAGTGGTGTTATTGTGTAGGGTGCTGTTTGCATCAACAGTCTCATTGCCAGCAGGTGGCACCAGTGAATAATCTTGAGATGATTCAGATGTATTAGCTGCCTCTCCAGAGGTTTCTTCTTCTGAAAAAAAAAAAAAAAAAATCAAAATCCACTATTTTTGTTAAGTGTGATATCATGTTAAGGGTAATATGTGTGTAAAAAACCTCTACCCACAATCAAGTTTGTTAAATGATCTCCGATCTGAAATTGTTCATGACATTTAAAAGAAAGTTCTAAACATTTGTCACTGACATCATGGTTTGAAAATGGGCAATTTTTATTATTTTGCCTGGAATTATCAGTGTGCAAATTTCACTAGTAAGTGACACTACTGGTGTGACATACTGACCTGACTGTGACATACTAGATTTGGCATACTCACCTGACACACCATCAAAGCTATAAGGGTTCATCACACGGTGCAAAATATCTCTCAAAGTCAAAGCACCATCCTCTTGTTTCTCCTCTCCTTTATCTGCACCTGAACCCTCCTCTGCAGCCTTGATCTTTTGGTCTGATGTTTCATCCGAGGCAGAGACCTCAACCTCTTCAGCAACTACAGTGTCAGATGTTCCATCTTCAACAGGAACTTCAATTTCTGCTTCCCTTGTTTGCTCAATGTCATCTGTCGCCAACGCTAATGCAAAACCTGCAAGAAATATGCATCATCCAACTGAGCTATAGACACAATGTTTCTCTCATCTGTTACCAAATCAAATGTTATAGGCTGGGGTAGCGCTGGCAATTTTTTTCGCTTAGCCATATCACCACATTTTTGTCGATTTGTTATCAAAAACGTTATAATTTGGCTAAAACATGTCAAATCAAGCCCTTTTTCTTTAGCCAATTTCAGTCAGTTTTAGCATCTGGCTAAATTGGCGAGTGTTAGTGCTACCCCAGATAGGCCTAATAAAATATGAATACATTTTAAGACTCATATTATATAAGGATGACAAGAGCAGAGAGCAATTCGTCATTACACAGGTTAGGTTATTCACAGTTCTGATACTACTCTAGCTGTTTGCAATTAATAATGAAAACCTTTTGTATATTAACATATTATAAGATAGAAAATAGCAAGCTTCTTTGTCAGGTATATTCAAACATTTCTATTTATGATTATTCTTAAGTTTAGTTGACATTTGTAACGACACTACACAAATAAAACTTGAATTTTTTGTTCTACCAACTAATCTGATATTTTTAAATAAAATTTACACCAAGAGATACATGGTTAAAAGTTATGAGCATACACACAAATCATTTATTGGTTTTTAATGGAAAGGCTGCACTGACTGCTTGGTTAGGAATCTTTTAATTTTACCATGAAGAGCAAACACACCCCTGGCCCAGTCTTGAGCAGTGTCCAAAACTCAAGTTTGAACTAAGGGTAACAGGGGATGATTCTAATCTAGGTTTACAATAAACCATCTATTTATGCACATTAGTCACCTTGAGGGCATAAAATGTGCTAGACCTTAATCTAGCAAATAATAATAATAATAATAATAATAATAATAATAATAATAATGATAATATTAATAATAATAATCATAATAATTAAACTACTTTTGTGCATGGGCCATGAGAATTTAATGAAATATTCATAAAATAATAAACCGATTTTAAACTTTTTATTTTTTGTTCATGGTAAAACTAGAGTGGAATTTTTGCCAATGTAGTTTTCAGATTGACGAACCGAGCAAATTGAGCTTTTCAAACTGGAGACCGCTCCGTCCACATTGTTACTGAATGTTGTTAGTGCAAGGAGATGTACCTCGGTTACGTGCCGTTACTACTTAGTTATACTATTAAAGTTAATCCCCCCACCCCCCACCCCCGTAAGTGAAGGTCTCCACATACAGCTAGTAAGTCAGAATCAGACAAGCTACATTACTACATTTAGTATCAATAATCATATTCCTAATACATAATAAAATGATTGCAACCTCTCTTCATTTAAAAACGCAGCATTAAAATAACCCACCTAACAGGAAAAATAAACAGTGCAGTACAATCCTGTGTGAATGAAGTTTCACACAGACGGCCATAATTTCTTGACCTATATTTAGAAATGTAGGTTATCAGTTACCTTCACTGTGATTGGTCCGATGGATCTGTCGAGGACAAGCACCAATCAAAGTAGCCGAGACATTTTTATCAATTATTAATTTAGCTAGCACGTTTATTGGATACCGGTGCATATACTAAAGGGGGAGGCAAGAAACTGGGACTCTGTTACAACGAGTAGACAGTCACCACCGAAAATGACACTGAATTACTCTGTCGTGTTCGAATTTGAACGTCAGTATGACGACCATACCTTTTGGGAATGGATGAAGGAGAACTGGACACTATGTTATGTGTACTCAGCGGTGTACGTGGTGCTAATTTTCGGTGGAAAATGGGTGATGGCCCGTCGACCGCGCTATGACTTGCGACCCTACTTGGCTCTCTGGAGCGCAATGCTAGCCATATTTAGTATATGCGGCTCTTTGAGAATGTGGACTGAGTTGATTTATTCCGTCACTAATTACAGTTTGCAATATGCCATGTGTGTGCCCAGCTATTACACAAGGGAAGTGGCAGGCTTCTGGTCCTTCTTGTTTGTTGTCTCCAAGGTGGTGGAACTAGGCGACACTGTGTTTATTGTGCTAAGGAAGACCCCCCTAATCTTCTTGCATTGGTACCATCATATCACTGTCCTCATCTACGTGTGGGCAACTTACACTGAGCATGCTGCTTCTGGAAGAATGTTCTGTACCATGAATTACACAGTTCACTCCTTCATGTACACCTACTATGCTCTGCGTGCCTTGCGCTACAACATTCCAAAGTGGGTGAATATCATGATAACCTTGATGCAGTTACTGCAGATGGTGATTGGTGTTGTGATTAACATTTGGGTATACCAGATCAAGTCCCGTGGTGAACCATGTCAACAGAGCTGGGATAACTTGAAGTATGCATTTCTAATGTATTTCAGTTACTTTGTGCTCTTCGCAAACTTCTTTTACAATGCCTATCTGAAGAAGCCTTTGCATCACCATGAACAGAAGAAGCAGCATTGAGGACAGTGGAGCTTTAGAGCACTAGGATTCTTGACTTCATCATATTACCTTTGCCACTGTTACCAAAGCTGTGATTAGATGGTCTGCAGAAGCCAATTATGTTTAGTTGAGATACATTGACACAAGTGTAATCAGGGAGACCAATCATGACCTCTTTTCTTTTGCTAATATTGGTTTTCTGACCTTATTTGCAAAGAATAATATATAAACTCGCCATTCTTCACTTTCATTATGCAAATTCAATTGTTTTTTTTTTTTTCACATACACTGATTAGTTGTATATGGCAATATTTTTTTTTGCTATGGCAAGTCAGCTATTCAGCAAAAGCATATTTATAAAAAAGGCCCAGTGGGGGTCATTTAGTAAACACATTCCATCTTTCAGTCATTTGACTTCTTAATCCTTCATAGCAAAAGTTATTTGAAAAAAAAAATGCTAATTACAACACTAAAATACTGAATGCCTGACCTGATGTAGCCCTATGACCTTAGGTATATCACTAAAGCCATTATAGTCTGTTTAGCACTAACATGTACTAGTACAAGTTAGACATGCTCTAATTCTTGTCCTGAGTAAAAGAATGACATTAGTATGAATTAATGGTTAACAGTGACTTGTTTAAAATTCCTTTAGTTGGATTTTCTTTTGTTAAAATTAGTTTTTCTGTAAAGGAAGGGATTGGCAACCATGCTGTTGTTGATGGCAAGTTTGCATGTTCCATATAATTTTCCATCTAAGTTATTGAAATGTGGATAATTTTGACATTGCTGAAATTTTATTCATATCTGTTTACATATATATATGTCCTACCAACTTCGGGGTGTGTATGAACAGGTAGGTGTAGTGGACCAGAGAATGTATAATAACATTAATCCTGTGTAGCCGAAGGCACCTAATATTGTGTCAGCCTTGTGGCTTATTTACTGGCTATGGTCTTGTAGTTGTGGATATGAAGTCAGTGTGTTGATGCACACAGTTCTGATGGATCCTGACAATACCTACCTACCTACCTACCTACTGTCAACCTCCCCTTTCTCTGCCATTCCACTTAGCCTAGCACCTTCTGCTCAGATGCTAGTAGATACATATTATTCTTTGATAACCATACATGCTGCTGGGTTTTTAAATTAGAATTTTATTTGATTTATTATTATTATTATTATTATTATTATTTTATTTATTTATTTATTTTGGGAGGTGGGTTATGTTACTGGAAAGGCTCCATTATATTCACTTATTTATGAATGTAAAGATCAATAGCAAGTGCAATTGATCTAATTTGGTGAAATTAAGCCCTGGAATCCTGTGTATACTAGTAGATTAATACAAAGCAGGTTAAGCTGGTTTACTTAACATTGCTCAACAAATAGTTATTCTGTAATTTATGGTTCTTGGCAATGGAAATAATATAATATATTATTGTTATTAAAGCTAGATGTGCAATGTATGAACCTTTATGTATGAACCTTTAACTATACCTTTATATTAGTACAGATTGCAAATTTCTACCTTTTCAAGGATCTTCCTTATTTTGGAATTATATCAACTTAATCGATGTAGCACAGCTGTATGTGGTCAAACTGTGTTTATGTTTTTGGTTATTTTAAACCACACAGATGCCTGATTTTTTTAGCCCAAGAATTTTCAACTGAATTATCTAAATATGTAATTTCTGGAAGTTAAGAATCCCGATGGGATGTTTCAGGCAAATAATGCAGCAGCTGCTCCCAGAGCATTGATTTTTTAAAACTCCATCTGCAACACAGTCTCTGAAGTTATTGGTTATGCATGTGTATTGATTATATCAGAGGATGGGTAGATGGGTCTCACTACCAATTAGTGTGTATTTACTTATGCATATTACCCCCAGTGGTGTATAATTCGCCTATTAGTTCCCCAAGTCTGTCCCAATTAAGATATATACCGGTACCTGAAGTCATACTTTAAATCGGCAGTCATATGTGTAAAGCGGTTTTACAGAGGTCTGGTTAAAATTGCATTACAGGCAGCAATTATTTATCTTTTAAAAACTAATTTTACCTATCAGTGAATTGCTATTTTGTCTTTGAATTTAAAAATAAGTGTGTCTGGAGTGATCCCTTTCATATATTTATTACAGTGGACATTTCATCTCTGATGGCATTTCTGGTTGTGCAAAGCTTCTCCCATTCTATAATGAAATTGGCTTCAGTTTTAAAGGTAGTATAAGGCTATAAACAGCATTCAGTGCTTTCTGTATTTTTAAACTTTTTGACAGATCAATACATTTCATTTACGGTTTTCTATTTTACTCATACAGACTCCAATTCAACAGAAATCTATAGTGTTGGCCAGCAGGTGTCTGAAAACCTGCTTATGTTCTGTTTCTTCTGAGGAACCACCAAATTCTTAATTTTGAAGCAGTGCCATCATGCATCAAAATCCCTGTGTAAATTTTTTGGGATGGATCCTGCACCTTTTTAAATGGTTTAAAAGTTTTCAGGATTATGATTGATTTCAGGATTTTCAGTCTTCATTTTGATGTTTATTTATTTATTTTGTCATATGGCCTACATGCGCTGCAAAATTGCAAGCTACGCTTTTAAGATTTTTAGTTTTGACAACTGTCTTCCATGCTTTTATTGTTAACATATGAATATTCTATAACTGGAACAACTGTTGTTTAATTTGGACTTGATGGGTTGCCCAAGGTCAAAGATCTACCTCCTACTTGATTTGTTGGTGCAGGGGAAGTGTGCAAAACTGATGACACAATATGGGTTCAGAAGTGCTGTGGGCATTAGATAGTGACAAAAGTCTACTATAGGCCACCTTTAGAATGTACAACTATAATTGATAAGATCAGAAGCTTTACTTTAGGACCTCAGGTGATTTTTGCACTAAATGCGTGCTGATGTACTTAAATAGATAAGAGTTCTTGTCTGTTTGCAGTTTATCTAAATGTGAAGGTAATGTCTATAAATGGTGGCTGGCCATATTTCAAATAACTCTTTCAGAAAAATGGCCTTGGTCCATTAATGTCCATCTTTCAGGATTACTTAATGTTATTTGCTAGTCTTTTAAGTTATTTTACATTTGAAATGACACTGGTTTCAACGGTTTGTAGGAGGTTAACTTTGTTTAAACCTTATGCTGTAATATTGGCCCAACTTTAAATTTTGCATTCCAGTCTTCGTTTCAAGTCACACAGGCCCCTTTTTGTAGTTAGTGTTTACTTGCTTCATTGATTACTAGATGATGCCTTTTTCATCAGTATCAAGAGGTTGTCTGCTCAGTTGAAAAATAAATGATTTGTTCTTTTTATTGCTGGCTTTGGTTGCCACTGCATATCTATCAACAGGTCTCTAATCCATTCCAAGACTGCTGTTTAAGTGCTGGTCTCTCAAATCTGCAGTATCCGGCTCTTCTTAATTTGTTAATATTAACATAGTAACACATGTCACAATGACATTTTATTCATTTAGTAACTAGGCAACTTTTAAAATTAATTGCTATCAGCAGCGCATTATATAAGTTGCCTTGTTGACCTGAAGTTACCACTTCCCACCATCCTGTACATTGCCATTACCTTTAAGTTGTTATTTATAAATGGGCCTCATGTTAAAATGAGAAATAGCTATGTGTAGTAACAAACTGCATTGGAATGGAAATGTCACCTATGTATATCGTTTAATAGTTTTTGGAAAGAAACTTGAAAACATTGATTTTTTTGTAAATTTCAAATCAATATAATCATGTGGAAAATCTGCTTAGTACTAAAATAGCATATATGCACTATTTGAAAGCTCAGAGAATCTGAGATTATGTCATTATTTCTTAGTAAATCAAGTGTTTTGATCTGGATTGTTGCATTAATGAATCCCTTGCTTTGAAAGAAAGCTTTGTGTAAACTGGCAATGTAGCTTCATGTTTCCATGTTACTATTGAATATTGGAGGTTTGCTCTCAACCAGGTAAAACAACTTCAAGAGCAGTGCAATGACTTGCGGTCAGTCAAAACTTCCAGAAGTTCGAAATGTGGATAATGAGACGTTTTTTTGGCATGAAATTGGTCAGTTCATGTTAGGTGTAACCGTATGAACAGTATAGTATAATAAGAGAAATGATGGTATGTCAGTGAAAAAAATATAAAATGATGAACTGTGTTTAATGAGACACAGAGTTTGTTAAACGTGATTATCATGAGTGTGACACTTAATTAATGAATTGCTATGTAACAACCACATCATTCAAGTTGTGGCATTGCCAGACTATTGACTAGAGGCATCTTTAACACAAATGCAGTATATATTGGATCTTTTACATATCCAAGAGGATTAATATTGTGTTTTTGTTTAAGTTAAAAGTTCGAGTTTTACATAGATGTGCAATCTTTCGATCTATTCACATTCTGAGTCTACCACTTTGCCTTGGAAATGACTAGGCACACAGCTACACACACACATGAACACACATAACTGGAGAAATGTGCTTTTCATGAAAATGATGTGTAGAATAGTCAATACTATGTGATGCCATTTACTATATTATAATCAGTGTGCATTGTAGTCTGTGCCATTTTGTGTTAAGAACTAGTTTTCATTTGTTTTGAATTTTGGAAAATTTATGCCTTTTTGGCAAATATTATAAAGGGAACCAAATGGCTGATGATAATAACCATTTCACACCGATTCATTTTATTAAATATGTTGAAATAAAATAGAGATAAGAATTGTTGTTTTCTGTGCAATTTATGT